AGGACGAACCAGTTGTTTTTCTTCAGCAGGTGCATGATGGACTCTAAAGTGAGCATTCGAAACCGTCTGGGTCGCAGGTAAGTGTTTAGGAGTCTTAGATCGAGGATGGGCCTTATGCCTCCTCCTCTTTTTGAGACAGCAAAATAGCGGGAGTAAAAACCGCGTTGTATGTCGCGGGGTGGTACTGTATAGATGGCCTCTTTTTGCAAGAGGGATGATATTTCTTCCTCGAGCGAGGAGTCGAATGGAGAATGATTTATGAAACCCAGCGGAGGAGATCTTATAAACTCCAGCTGGTAACCGTGCTGAATAATTTTTAGAGCCCAAGTGTCGTTTGTGATGGCAGACCAGTTGTGAAGAAACGGCTGAAGACGGGTGGTAGGTGGTGAATGGGTAAAAATGGGGGGCCGAAAGTCAAAGGTACTGTTTTTGTTTCCTTCCAGGTGGTTTAAAGGATTGGCGGCGATGAGATGGGCGAGGCCGGTATCCCTGATATCCCTGAACAGAGGAAGAGGACTGTCCAGAGCGTTGCTGAGGTAAGTGCTTATAAGGACGGTATTGTTGAGAAGGTTGTTGGTATTGACCGTAAGATTTACGCCATTGGGGTCTTCGCTGTCTAGATTGAGTATGAACAGAGTAGGACTTGGCAGTCCTCTTGGCTTTGTGGAGGTCCTCTAAGTGGGAGTCGGTCTTTTCATTGAATAAGCCACTGGCGTCGAAAGCGAGACTCTCAACTTTGGATTTGACATCATCCAAAATGTCTGCAGAACGGAGCCAAGCGTGTCTCCGGATGGTGATGGCAGACATAAGAATTCTAGCAGCGATCTCTGCTGCATGTCTAATGGAGAGGCGTTCATGTTTGGATACAGTCTGAGCCTCCTCATATGAGTTTAGAAAAGCTTGTCGAGCGTCTTCAGGTATCATTTTCAGTCCTGGCAAAAGTTTAAGCCATAACTGTTTGTGATAAGCTCCTAACACAGTCTGGTAATTGATGACTCTGAGCAGCAGAGTGACAAGGGAGTAGATTTTCCTGCCTATGATCTCCAGTTTTTTACCCTCCTTGTCAACGGGGCTAACATGAGCCTTGGCAGATGGTCGTGAACAGCTTGTTTCTACAATGAGTGAGTTTGGAATTGGATGTTTGAGCAGAAAGTGGGTGTCAGCACCATGAATTCTGTAAAAGTTCTCTGTGCGACGGGGAACATTAGGGGTATTCGCGGGTTGAGCCCAGAATTCCTTAATGGCCTCCATAACCACAGGCACAAAGGCTATACTAGGAGGAGCGGTACTGTCCTTTTTAATGTCCCCGAAGAACAAGTCTTCGCCTGGAGGTGAAGGAAGATTCAAGTCTAATTTCAAGGTTTTAGCAAGTCTGGACATCATCTGGGAGTAGCAAGAAAAGTCCTCAGATGGAGAAGATGCGTGAGGATCACCAGTGTCTGAAACCACCACATCTCCCTGAGGCAACTCGTGAGGTGGCAGGGGTGGGGGTTGCTCTTGATCAGAGTCAGACGACAGCTCTGTGGACACCTCATCTGGATCCGAGGAGAAGACATCCCTCTTCTTTTTTGGAGGTGGTCCCTCGATGCCGACTGACGCTGTCGGAGGTCGAGGCGGGACCGGGACCGCAGTGGGCGCCGACGTCGAAGGCACTGGTTGCGGTGCAGGGGCAACCGGTAGTGAAGGTGGTTTATCCCCGACGCGGATAACTCGGCGCCGACGTCGAGGACAGGTGGACTCCGACGAAGAAGACAGGTAGATGTACCGGATCTTCTTATGGTACCGATCTCGAGATGCAGACGTCGAAGACGAGGAAGGAGACCTCGAGCG